TGCAGGTTTTTCTGGAGTCTTGTCTGCTTTGTTAAAGAATGTGTCCAAGAAAGTTTGGACAGATGTTCTTCAGGGAGGTGGGCGATGCAGCGAACTTGTTCACTGGCGTTGTGTTGCATCATATCAAGCTTTGTAAGTCGAAACTGAAGTCATAAAGTTGAAACCTGATGTCAGTTTATAAACGTTGTATGTGCGAAATGTAATCCAAAACATTGTAAGTTGAGAACTTCCTGTATACGTTCTGGGTTCTGAACCATATTACACAGTGTTAGGGCCTGAATTAGCTGTTACGACCCAGGAAAGATCTTGGAGTCGCTGTAGATAGTTCTTTAAAAACATCAGCTTAATATGCAGCAGCCACCATAAAAGCCAATAAAATGTTGAGCATTGATAAAAATGGAATTGAAAATAAATGGAGTACATCATCATGGCTTTATACAAATCCATGGTGCACCCACATCTTAAATGCTGTGTGCAGTTCTGGTCCCCACATCTCAAAAAGGATGTAGTAGAATTAGAAAAGGGACAGAGAAGGGCAATCAATGATCAGGAGCCTGCAGCAGTTGCCATACCAGAAGAGACTCAAAAAGGCTAGAACCCTTCTGTTTGGAAAGGAGAAGGCTGAGGAAGGATACGATAGAGGTCCATAAAATCATGAAGTGTGTGGACCAAATCACAGAAAATGAGGATTGGAAGGGACCTCAGGAGGTCACATTTAGTCCCAACACCTTCCTCAAAGTAGGACCATACCCAACTAGATCATCCCACCCAAGGCTTTGTCTCTCTGGGTCTTCAAAACCTCCAAGGATGGAGAGTCCACAACCTCTCTGAGTAGCCTGTTCTAGTGCTTTACTACTATCCTAGTCAGAGAGGTTTTCCTAATATCTAACCTAAACTTCCCTTGCTGCAATTTGAGCACATTGCTCCTTGTTCTGTCATCTGCCACCACTGAGGACAGTCCAGCTCCATCCTCTTTGGCAACACCCTGCGGGTAGTTGAAGGCTGCTGTTAAATCCCCCCTCAGGCTTCTCTTCTGCAGATGGAAGAGGCCCAGTTTCCTCAGCTTCTCCTCACAAGTCCTGTGACCCAGCCCCTAGCTATTTTTGTTGCCCCCTGCTGAACTCTCTCCAACTTGTCCACATCCTTTCTGTGTTGGGGGCCCAAAACTGAACACAATACTCCAGATGTGACCTCACCATGCTGAACAAATAGGTTCACTAAGGGTGCCTGTACAAGAGTGGGGAGATTGCTCTTTACAGCACATCAGAGCAGACTCAATTAATTGCGTCTGCTGGAGCATGATAATTACCGTGCTTCAGCAGTCTTCTGCATCTCGTGTATCAGCCTCGCCATGCTTAAAAATGGTGATGGAGGTGCTGAACTAAAGCTTGTTGATTGAGCTGTAGTTCAGGCGCCCCTGCTGCCAGTTATAAGTGCAGGGGTACTGCTAAATGAACTGTTGCAGTGCTTTAATTAAAGCAGCACTTGGAGCTGCTGTAATTAAAGCACTGGCCTCTCATCCCCAGCCTCAGAGCACGTGTAAAAGTGACCCTAGTCCCAGAACACTAAAACTAGTGGGGCACTTGCTGAAATTAGTAGGTAACAAGTTTAAAACTAACAAGAGAGTTATTTTTATGCAATGTGTAGTTAACTTGAATTCATTGCCACAGGAGGTGGTGGAGGCAGATAACATAGGTTCAGATAGGAACTGAATAAATTCATCCATGATTGATAGATCCATTAATGGCTATTGAACAGAATAGTTGGGCGTGTTTCCTCTGGTATCTCCAACACATCTAACGCATCTCTTCTATCTAATAAATGCTAGATGTCAGGGAGGGTATTGAGTAGGGAGTAGATCCTCTAGAGATAACTGGTTCACCTATCTCTCTGTACACTGTCCATTTCTGCTGCTGTCAGAGACAGTTATCTCACCTATACTGGGATAGGTGGACCATTGGTCTGACCCAGTAAGGCACTTCTTACATTCTTATGATAAAGCTGGTGTATTGTTATCTTATGCATATACATCACAGAATGTGGCTCATCTCATCCAGTGTACCAGCTGCCCTTGTGGAAACTGTGGGTGAAACTGGACAGGAACTACACACCAGAATAAATGCTCACAGAAGAAAATATAAAGGACAGATGCACAAATACTAATAGGAGCACTTTTTTTTTTTTTTTCTTTTTCAGAACAACCACTTCTGACCTCACCATCTTTGTTTTCTGAAGGGAATTTATAAAACACGCTCGGGAGACCGGGCCTGGGAACAGAAGTTCATAACTCTGTTGAACAGTATAAAAACATTTTTAAAAATCTGGACTTAATGTAGACAGTGGCTTTATGGCTTGTTACAACCTAACAACTACTGCCAATAATCCCCCTGCACTTCATACGTAACTACCTCCTTCCTGAATGGTCTCACTCTGCTATTAACCAGATTGTCTGTTCTACTGTACTTCTTTTGTCGTATAATGGATCCTGATAATACCTCTTTACCCTAGCTCACAGTTTTCCTCCATCTCTCAATGGAGACTGTTTTGCATTTACATGGAGCCTTTTCTTATATGTAGCTCAGCCTGCCTTCTCTGTCAGATTGGAAGAAGGGCTGCTGGTACCTGAAAACTTGTCCAGCAGCTCTTCCAATTATGTAGTCAGCTCAACAAAAGATACTATCAAAATCATCTTCTTCCATTGAGGGGTAAAGTGTGGGAATATAAAATGAAAACAAAAAGCAGGAAACTGTCCTGGAACAGGATGTACTGTTGAGTAAGGAAATGCTGAGACCATGGTCTCTCCAGACCCTAGGCCTGTCTTCAGTCTGCAGTGCTTGTTGGGGTCTTTATATCTTGCATCGGTTGAGACCAGCTTCTCAGGTGTTGGGTCAGTCCTTCTCAGGGCCCAGGACAAGCAGGCAATACAGCCGTTTCCTCTAATCAGGGACATATGAGTAAATTCAAGAAGTTTTCTTTTATTTCATTTTTTTTAACTTTTTTGTAACATGGTGGTTTTTCTGACAGTAACTGGAGTGGAGCGGTAATTGTCAGGTGGCAACAGCTCTGTGCCTGTGTGTGATACAGTGCATGCTCATCCTAGAGACTATCACCACTGACTTGTCTCTTTCCCATCCTTCCAGCTTCTTTCTGATGACTGACTGACTTGCTCATGCCTCTTGTCCCTTCTGCTGGCCTAAATACATGGTGTACTCTATACATGTACATGCTTTCAGTGTGAGGGGCATCTGGAATGACCTTGTCTCTCTTGTGTGAGAGCCCCTACCCCACCTTCACCCTCTTGCGTCTCAGTGCCTTCTTTTGGTGTATGAAGCAAGGTGATTGGCAATTTCCAAGGGGAAACTAAAGCTTGATTGTCTTTATTTTATGGCCACTATGTTGTGTGCTTCTCAAAACAGGTCTAGGACACGCCACATGTGCTTGGAACAGAAAGTGGTGAGCTTTTAGGGTTGGGGGTAAGAATTCATTCCACCATCTGGAGCCATCCTCTGAGGAGCTTTGATGTCCTGCCATAGTGACTTTGCCCTTGGGATGGACAGTTCTATTGGACCTGTGCAGGGGAGAAATCAAACATGGTCTTCAACCTTGTGCTTCAGGCAAACTTTGTTGTCCTGTGCCAAGGCTATTGAATACCTTGAAGAGGACAGATCTTGACCTTGAAGTCGGCATGGAGAGCAGATTATTGTTCATCTATATGTTGATCTTGGCTGGGTGCTGCTAGTATAGTATGCAGTGAAGGACAGAAATAAGGTTGTCAACATGCAATTTTTGTCCCATCTCTAGCTCTGATGGTGTTGCCTGTGCTGTCTCCTGTGTGTAGCCTTCTTATTCTGCTGCTTATGTGCACTCTGAAGAATACAGTGTAGTAATGAAGTCCCTCATGCCTTTTGTGTTCCAGGGAAGGAATCAATCAGGATCTGATCCACGTTTCTCCCTGCATCACTGAGCAGTTCATTGAGTTGCTGTGTCACTACAGTCCTGACCAGGTTTTAGAGATGCTACAAGTCCTGGAGTTCTACAGACTGGAGGAGACCATTCAGGTGAGGTGGAGGCACTGTGGGGGCTCCTCCCATTTCATCACTTCTAAAAGAAGGAAAAAAACCAGAAGATTTCTTAAGGTAGAGTTTGTGGCTTTTTTTGTACCTAGATCACTCAGAAACACCAACTCCATGAAGCTTCCTCATACCTCTTGGAAAAGAAAGGAGATGTCCATGGTGCTTTCTTGGTAATGCTTGAGGTACAGTAACCCGAGGCCCTGAATTCTACAGCTTGACATTGTTCTACAGCTTGATCTTGTGGCCTGTTATAAACTGGTTAGGGGGGATCAGCAGGCATTGGGGGAGTCCCTGTTCCCCCGAGCGCCACAAGGAGTGACCAGGAACAGTGGTCACAAGCTGGCGGAGGGAAGGTTTAAGTTGGACATCAGGAGGTGCTACTTCACGGTCAGGGCAG